TTGAGATCATACTAAAATACATGAAGTGCTATGCAAATGTAAAGGTATTTGAAGCAATTTGAGAAAAAGAACTGAGAATTTATATCTTAAAAAGCATCCACATGAAATTCAAAATGAAAAACATTGGCCAACATCCAAAGAGAATGACAACTATAGTAAAGTTGGCAAGGCAGGCATTTACCCTTGGAAGCACAGTTCAGACACGAGAAAGAAGCTGACTGATGATATCCACTGTTGAGACTGTGCCAAAGAAAACTATGTTGGGAAACCCATCTGTGACAAAGGAATTAACACTGGGCTATTGACAACATGGCATTTAGACCCTGTGGAGGTCTTGATAGGCCAAATGTATTGATAATCTCAAATTAGACAACTCTTAAACTTACTTTGACAGGTTAAGGACAAAAAATACCCACTTAGATCTTTAGTCAGAAAAAGCTCCACAAGCTTTCTTTTAACTGTGCTACTATACAAAATAAAACTGCAGATACAGCCAAACTCAATGGAAGGACACAAATCATAAAAACTGTCACATACTTGCTTCAAAATGATGGAGATGGATACAGCAAATAACTAATCCCTAATATTTAGGCTTTCCCCTTACACAGCTTGGCTGAAAAATCAATCACTGAAAGGAAAATTATTTCTGTGCATTTGGGTTCCACAGGCATTTGTCAAATGCCTACTTTGTGTAAGGCACTTTGGTAAGACTGTAGGAGCAAATATTAGGAAATTAAGTAATTGCTAAAATGAAAATCATACGTGGCGAAAATAGCAGTGAAGGGAATAAAGAAATCAAGCTTCTACTTCTAAGTTCTGCCTAACATGCTTATGCATGAGGATGACCATTGAACTCTATATACCTAAGTTTCCTAGTTGTAAAAAAGAGAAGGGTATTAGATTTAAAATAATAGTAAACATGGTGCATATAATTATCAGCTGTCTATTGTGACTATATCTTATTTAATGTTCATAGCAAATATTTGAGGAAGATATTTATATTTAGAATATCAAGGAAACTGAAGGTGAATGCACAGAACTTTCACAATTAAGCAAGAGACAGAGGTGAGACTGAAGTCTAATCTCTCCCTGTCACCTTCCCCTTACCCATTCTAGGATGGTGAGTTTGGTGAATCTATATTCAACTTTACTATTACCAAGATTCTATCAATACAAGCATAAGAACATATCAGTCATCATTTTTTCAGATGAAGTCTTTTGGTTTATTTTCATACAGCTTCCACTCATTTCCTTGTTAACTTATACCAAAATAATGTTGGTAAATAAATCATGAAGAAAGATAAACTTTACTATCAATAATGGCCTTTAGATTCACAAGTTTGGGACTCTGTGAGAAAGACGTGAACTTTGAATTCTCTCTTTCAACACACAGCATATAATTAACCTTGCCTGCTATGCACAGAAGCATGTGAAAGTTGAGTTGATAAATTCTCTTGGTTTAATTTCATACATTCACAGTGTAAAAGGAAAAGAATGGGTGGAAGGTTATAACACAGTAAGTCAATTAGATTGTAACAAAGGAAGAGTCATAAACAAGGAGTGACTTATGAAGATGTGTGCTGCTTTCATTACCAGTGTCCCTTCTAGCTTGGAATTAAGTCAATATGAAGGTGCAATATTCACAGCTTTTCTTGACAATGTATTTCCAAATGTAACAGTAGACAGAAGATTCATATCCATGCTACTTTTCAACCCTTTTTCTCAAAGATGCATAAAATTATATGGTAATCTAAGTATTAAGCTGAGGAGATAATAACTGACATTTCAGATCTAATAATGCATAGTTATAAATCAGATAATTTTATATCTCTGCAGATATATTAATCTAAAAATCTATTTGAAGCAGTGGGATTTTAATAATGATATTCATATCAAATTATTCTCCTAGGCAAATCTCCTGCTAAAGCTAGTTTAAATCCTTTTTTTTTTTCATTACAAGAAGAAAGAACTAAGGAGAAAAAAATGTGAGAAAGAAGGAAAATGCAGACCACATAATATCACTGCTTTATTTGTAAAATTTCAACAAGTTATGTCGTGTCTGATAGAAGGTTATGTTCAGAGGGCCATGTACGTGAAGTTGAATTAACTTCCATTTCTAGGCTAAAAGGAATAATATTGTATTGGACCATTCTCATCAGTTCCATTAATTGTAGGAATTTGACATTTTGCACACATAGCTAGTTCTACAATTTTGACTGAATTAATAATTCTGTTTAGTCAAATAACGATAATTTAGTTAAACGTATGTTTCTTAATTTAATGGAAAATCATGATCATTTCATTTTTTTTAACTGGTTAAAATGATTTCCATTTGTATACATAATTCATCAAGACAAAATAAACATTAATTATTTGGAAAAACGGGACGATGAAAAGGTAAATAAAATGCATGAAGCCAAATTCTTCCCATAACATCTTAAACATAAGCTAGAGGTGGATTATGAATTTAGTTCTAACCTTTATTAGACAGCACAAACAGGGAGACATGGCCAGCCTGCCACATAAGTCATTATCTTTAAGATAGAAATTAAATGATTACTTAATGAATATTAAATATTCCAGGACTAGGACCAAAGAGAAATTTTTCATGAAGGAGTAATGTGTTGAATTAATATCCCCTAAAATATTTACCAACTATACTCCACTAGTATAAATTTGGCTAGAATAGATATGATTAAAAAATACATAGAAGAGACATTCTACAGAAACTTATGCCCCATTTATTTAAACATATAGATAAAAAATACTAATTAATGTATGAGCAAATCAATTTAACTAGTGTATAAAATAATATCACTAGTAATAATAACAGTAGTAAAGACATACAGTTTTAGTTTAATATACAACAGTGCATGTTTTATGTATATTAATTTGACATTCTCTAGGGAAAATTATGATAGGTTTTTAAATAGAACAAGAAGATATTGTTCAATTGCAATGGGATTATCCAGCATACTCTCTGGGCTTCTCTGATTCTATGGAGTCTGTACCTTGCATTGTCTTTGAGCTACTGCACAACTCTAAGTTGTAGAAAACTGATTTGTTACAAAAAATTCTTGAATATAGAAATGCAAATGATTTGTATCTTGTGGAATACAATTTATTACTGCCCCATGGATAGACTTGTTTGACAAATCTTTGTAAATTCATTTCAAACACTGCTCCTTTTTAAATCTCCTTTGAACCAGCTGTGACACCTTGCTGGTTTTCTCAGTAACTAGTTAAATAAAATTACTGACACATGTTCATTTCATGTTTGTATAAGAGTGAGGATTTTACCTTTTCTTTTAAGTTTTCATGTGTATATATGTACTTATATATATATATATGAGTACCCAATTATGTAAACAATATCTTACATCCATTTCACAAACAGATAAAGCTGAAACAGATATTAAGTAGCTTCTCTAAGGCTACTCACATAGAAGTGATATGACCAGAATGGAAACATGAGGATTGTTAGGTTTATTGAAACATTATAATATCCATTATTGTAACTGAGTACAGAAATAGATTAAGAGAAACTGAACATTTTATTACTATAAGAGATTAAGAAAGAATATGCATTAATTTCATATTCATACCTCCCTACACCAAAAAATTAAAAAGACAAAAAAAAACCTTTTAGCAACCTGATAAACAGAGCAAATACCATGTTTAATGTTGATGTTTTAGGGTCAGTCCCATAAAAGTAAGAATGTGTCAAACTATTTTTACTCTAACAATTTGCTATTATCCAGGAAATTCCAGACCATGTATAAAGATATAAAAACAAAATTGTAGGGTTGAAATAAATATGTTATTTATACACATTATTATCTATGTAGAATACACTAAGAATTTCCAGAAAAAATATAAGAATTAGTAGAAGAGTTCAGCATATTTGCTGGATGTCAGATAAATTCTCAAATATCAAGAGCATTTTTATACAAAAAAAAAAATTGAAAAACAAAACATGAAAAACAAATTCATGTTAGCTACATAAAATATAATAGGAGAAAATCTAGCAAAACCTATTTATCTTTAAAAGGGAAAATTATATTATTAAGAAGATAAATCATGGTTATGACAGTTATTGGGTTATTTAAAATGTCAGTCCTCCAAATTTACATGGAAAGGTTCAAGCATGCAAATCTTAAACAAAAACCAGGAGAGAAGACTTACCCCAGGGTGTTCAAGGTTTAGTGTAATGTTATCTACAGTAATTAGAACAGAATGATATTTGGTCAAGGATGAGCAGAACAGAGGATTCAGACACTGACAAGCATATGGACAATTTACCTTAGAAGACATATTGGGGGAGATAAGAATATTTTATCAAATAGTGATGAGATAATTGGCTTTCCATTTGAAAAAAAAAGGGGAGGGGATAACATTAGATTCCTTCATCAAATCATATACAAAATAAACATCAAAGAGTTAAAGACCAAAGAATCAAACTTTACAACAATTAGCAGAAGTTACAAGAAACTGACTTTAAGACCTCAGGGTAGTAAAAGATCTCTTAAATAAGATGAAAAAGGCAAAAATGATAAACAACATGAGATATTTTAATATGAAAATCAAATACTTCATTGTAACAAAGGACTCCAACAACAAACTAAAAACTTAAGGTAAAAAATTAGGTAAAAATATTTGCAGCATAAAATAAAGAACCCACTTTTTGGAAAAAAAATTATATGAAGAACTACCTTACAAAGTAGTAAGAAAAGGAAATAAAAAATAGAAATTAGATATAGGCTCTGAATAGACAATTCACAGGAGAGTAAAATGTAATGGTCACTAAACATATGAAGATTTTCAATCTCATAAGTCATCAGAAAAATGTAAAATAAAACTACAATGAGATATCATTTCAACCCCACCAGAATAAGAAAAAAAAAGGAAGAAGTTTGATAATAGCAAGTACTGGTAGGGATATATATACTTTTTTATTTTTATTTTTTAGTTTTTTATTTTGATATTGTTAACGTAAAATTAAAAATACAGAACGCTTCACAAATCTGCATTTCATCCTTGTGAATGGGCCATCCTGATCTTCTCTGTATGGTCCCAATTTTAGTATATATGAGCACTGGTAAGGATATATATTGATGAGGAATTCTAAGACCTTGCTGGCAATATCATAATTTTTTACAATCACTTTGGAGAGTGGTTGGCCAATATTTAATATATTATACATGTATATTCATCAATTCTAAAAATAGCTCAGGAAATATTTAGTGCAATTATTATCAAACACTTAACAGCAGTCGTTAAAAACAGTTGCTTGTCAACAGAATAAATATATTATCTTAAGCATTAATTGGAGCATCCTTAAAGATCATCTGTTTGCAAAATACCTACTTAGGTGATTTGTTTAATTTGTCAGATTTCCCAGCTACCTTCCAATTACATGGTAGGAGACTTCTATTTAAAGTGGTAACTTTAGTTTTAGAATAGTTGATAATGTAGTCCCTCTTTCTGGTAAACATTAACTAACAAGGGCATTTGCCTATTAAAGCAATTAAATTTGTAGTTAATGTAAGAGAGTCAACCAGCCAACTTAGACAACAATGGACCAAGACCCTTCATGGAACAAACTGACCTTGTGGTACCTTGAAAGGAAACTCAAAACCAGTTTCAAGGAAAGAAAGTAAAAAGTCAAGGATATTGTCATCATCACTTGGAACCTGAAGATTTGAAGAATCTGGCTCCCTTATGGGAAGGAGATAGAAGACTGAAAAAGCCTAGCTTCAAGTCTTACCATGTTTTCTAACAGCTAAATCCATGTTCTGTAAATGAAATGAGTGCTTTCTTCGTAGGTTCTGATATTTAATATAGAAAGAGACTATTGAAAATTAATCCCGAGAAAATGAAATTCTTCCTACAGGAGCATAGCTATTGATTGCCTCTTTTAAGTATTCCTTTCCTTTCATGTCGGTCTATTGGCAGTTAGCACTAGGAGACATTCCTTGAGATCTTGCCTAGATGGCTGGAGGAACTATTTGGATATGTGAAACTAAGTAAATCAGAGACAGGTTAGTGCCAGAAACCTGACTGTTCTCCTTACATGATCCCTTCTTTGGAGGTCCAGTTTTGTTTGATCCTTCAGCAAAATCAGTCAGTGCAGAAGAGAGTGGTAGAGAGCAAAGAAGGTACCTCTTTGAGGAAGATCCGCTTTTTTTTTTAATCTTTCTGGTTGATAGCTGCAGTTGGAATAGTTCATCCAAAATCTGATGAATAATATATCTTGGAAGATCATAGCTCTTAAAACATAATTTTAAGAAGTAAGATTGCAGAGTAGAAGTAACAATACTATAAAACTCACCTCTCTTCATATAGAGTCTAAGCAGTGTGAGATGCCAGGAAATAACACCTTCACAAAAAGTGAAATTGTGCTACCTATTTAGGGATAATTAGTCCTCATCAAACGATTGTCCTGTGTGCTTCCTGTGTGTCTAGGTGAAACCTAAGTGGAAGGAGATCTTCTGAGGGGAGAGGAGGAGAGCTTGGGTCTGGCTTCTGGTACCGCACAGCATGTGGCAACATATCTGTTACTGGACTGGACTTTCCTAAACTACTACCATCTTTCTGTATATGCTTCTTAAAAATCGTCAGAAAAAGAGCCATCAAACTCAAGAAAACTTAAGGAAAACCATAAGGATAAGAAACAGAATGTTAAGTGATATGAAAGGTGAGGAAATGTGTATTAAAAAAGTAATTGCAATGAAAATAAATAGGAGTAGGAGTAGCAAAAGAAAAATATATGTGACATGTTATATTTTAGAGAATTAAAAGAGCAGAAAATAAATCTATGGCAAAATTGAAATTTAGAAAATTTAAATATAAAGTGAAATGGGCTTAAAAAACCAATGCTATGAATTAAAAAGTAATGAAAATATGAATATAGCATAAAAATACAGAAGGTTGGGAAAAGCCATATTGAAATGACAAAAAAGAAGTGTAAAGATGAGAGACAGATGGGGAAAGGGGCAGAGAGGAAAGTTAAATTTCTAGAAACAATGAAGGAGTGAGACTTTATAAGCATTTTCAGAGCTCTCCAGCTTTCTTTCTTGAGAGATACTCCGCAATCCCCCACCATGAGATCCTCATCAGAATTTAGGGGAAACTTATCAGCTGTACCCACAAGCCATCACTTCCTTAAAAGGCAAGCTACTAAAGTCACTTTCTGAAAGAGTAAAAACATGAGTTTGTATAGCAGCCATTAGTGCAGTTTCTGAGTTACAGAGGCAACCGTCGGGCCAGGCTAAGACAACGTCCTAGTTCGGTGTTGCCTGGTCAGTCATTTTCTATTCATAACAGTTTATACTACTGTCCACTATAGGATGGTCAACATAATAATGGTTTCGCATGACTCACAAGGACACCAGTGAGAACCCCTTCACTAAAGATTTCACCCAGTTGCTGAAGAATTTTCTAGCAAGGAAGACCCTCCATTAATTGTCAGTGGGGAATTATATATTGCCTATTCACTGAACTTGCTGGAATAGTAGAGGAAGATCAATCTTCGGATCTAAAAAGTGTTTAGACCCAAACTCTATTGGAACTAAAGAAAGACAGAAATCCACTAATCATCTGGAGCTAGAAACAGGCGTTCTAAATGAGATTGGAACTCAGGGGTCCTCCCTGTAACTCTGTGCATCTTGTCTGAATGCCCTGTAAGTGAAAAAATAGGTACTATGGAAAGAGTGAGCAAATCCTGCTTCAATCATAGTTGAGTTTATAATGAATGCTTTTTGATAATAGTCTGCTGGGTTTTTTTTTCCTTTTTAGGACCATTAAATGAATCAAAGCTGGTCAAGGTCTCCACTTAAAGCCAGCATCATTGGGTCACCAATTTTATTTTCTGGAAGTAATTGGTAGAAATGGATTCTTCCTCTTATGGTATTTTCTAATTTACTCCCCCACATAAGGGCACAGAACAAAGACGTAGGAACTAGAAGTGCTTTTCCTTATTACATAATGGAATTCAAGTGGGCTGACCTCTTGACCATGATGTGTAAGTCTAATGATTTTAAAATTACTTTTGTCTGCTGAGTCGTACATTCTAGCTTGGGACTAGCTAATTATAATGTAAAACTGAACAGATGATGTAAATGAGTGCACTTGATACTTTTTTCTTTGTGTATACTATGAGAGGCAGGAATGGTTGCTCAAACAAAATGAATTGAACATCTATGCTTAGGATCATCTCAGTGTTAAAACACTTGTTTTCTCATAAAGCTGGTTTTATACCTAAACAAGCAAATACTTCAGAAGAAAACTGATTTGAAGTACTGTAGGAAGTTCCCATTTGCCACAAAACTAAGTCCTGTTTTTGTTTTAACCCCTAGATTCATCCTTTTGGGTTAAGACTTGCCCTCATTAAATTTTTTTAAATATGAATACACTGGTAATGGGACACGTTTGCTATGGTAGCGGTGGTCGATCCTTCACTCTAGCTGAGAAGAAGGCAGGTGTGTGCTCAGAGCAGGTGTGAAGGGAGGGTCTGTCTGAGGCCCTCACAGACAGACCCAGAGATCAGAAAATGTGACAGTATCAAGGCACCTGAGAGAGGACAGAAGGCAGGAAGAAGAAAATTAAATTTACATCTGTGAACATTAACACATCTTACATTTGATCCAGTTCCTGCAGTGTAGAACACAGGTATATAAAACACAAAATAAACTTGGAAAGGGACATCCAAGGAAGGTCAACTTGTTTCTCCCAACTCCCTAGTGTTAAGTACAAATCACAGTCGGGAAAATCACCTGAGTGATTAACTGCTCCTACTCCAGGCTGCCTTGCCCCTTCCTGCAACAGCTGTAACCCTGTTTTGATCTCCTGGCTTCTAGACCCTTGACCTAGATGATCAGACCTGATTTTCTTCTGATCCTGCGAACACCCAGGCAAGCCTAAGCCACAGTATGTGATGACTCCCATTTTTATACTTGTCTTTCTTTTCCAGAAGAGAAACTTTCAGGGCATGTTACCATCAGAGGAGCAGTTTTACGGGAAGTGCAGCAAACTGGTTCAAGGGGAGGAATTAGGGAGAAGGCTGGTGAGGGAGCAGCTGGTGGTCCAATGTGTGCCACTAGATTTGATCCTTAATCAGTTAGTGTTTGATCCAGGTAAGAACAAACCCAACATCAGGTTTAATCTTGAGTCTGAAGCAGTAGCAAATAGTATGATGTTTTAAATAAATACATGATCAAGCAGTTTCCAAATAATATTAATGTCAAGTGGAAAACATCATGAAATTAGCTTTTAGTCAGTTGTTCACCCCACCTACAAAGTGATAAAAACATCACCTTTTTAGATTATTTCACCCAAAAGCTGATTTTCAATCAATTCCTGCTGTCAGGATATATATATTTTTAAGTGAACTCCTAATAAATAGTACTGTGAAGTGGCCCTGAATGCAAGTCTTGTCTTTTAAATGAAAGGATAAAGTCTGTCAGCCATAGTTCCTATTTATATAGCAGCTTACAGTACATGCTCATTCACGTATTCTAGCTTATCTAAACAAAGTAAATCAAATAACTTGCACCCATAATCTTGTGGCTTGAAAGTAACAGATGGGCTTGAAATGATTGTGAGTCAAAATCTCAAGTAATCTCAATTCCAAATTAAACTAGAGTCACTCACCCAATGTATTCTTACTGATTGATTCAACTCAAATCCATCAATATAACTCAAGAAATATTTACTGAGTATCAACTGTGCCCAACATTTTGTTAATATTTTGCAGAAAGAAAAATAAATCTAAGATTTTATACTGCTCTCAGAAAGACTGTACAGGAAAAACATAGTGATGAAAAGCATAAATCTGAGAAAAAGCAGAAGAGGGAAGAAACATGTCATTCCTACTGTCTGCAGGTAAGGTGCTAGATAATTTAAACCATGCTATTTTAATCTTACAAGCAGTTTGACTGCCCCTACACCTCCATGCCGGTGTGGAGTGGAGTCTGTCACCCTAATCTCCCCACCATCTTTTTTTTTTTTGTCTCTTTGCTCTTTTCCTGAGATTGTAAATTGATAAAAGGGAAAACTTATTTACTATGAAAGTTCACAAGAAGAAGAGAACAGGATTGACTTTTTTTTC